AACGCATATGTGATAAAAGAAAACTTAGTTTAAATTTAAATTTTCAGTTTTCAGACATATCAAATTAGAATCAAAGACGGTAAAAAGAAATTGTATGAACTGAATGATAATTTATTTATAACCGTACTAGTAAACCTATAAACAACCCATAAAACCAATGGAGGTAGTAGCCGCAGGAGGTGTTGGAACTCCGTTTTTTACGAAGTGGCTTTGACATTCTTCCCGTGGATTTTTTTGTGAAGACGTTTGTCAGAATGACTGAAATTTGAACACGATAGAATCTTCATCCCAAGTACTATAACACAGTGTACTTATAAGTTATATGTCAAAAATGAAATTTGTTTGAATGAAAAAATAAAATCTAAAATAGATAGCTTGGAAAGAAAGTTACCAAAATCTTACTGTAGATACTTGGGGTGAAATTAATCGAAAGTAGAAAAATCCAATCTCATAGATTTAAAAGTCTTAGAGCATGTTTATTGATAAACCCCATTGGGTATCATTAACATAAATTTATAATTAATTTTATTAATAGTTTAATCTTTGAGATTCAATTAGATTTTTATGATTTTGGCTGCTCCAACGGATGAAGAGTTTAACCGCGTTGGTGGCTGAATCTCTGCATCAAAAGAGAAGCAGAAGAGATCACGACGAAGCAGAGAGAGAAGCGAGAACCCCCGGCGAAGAGAATGCCGACGAACACGGCCACAGAGAGATTTGGAGATTTTTCTTCTCAATCGCCAAATCGCATCTCTTCGTCGACATAGAGAAGAGACGATGTAAGAGAGGGTTTACGCCGACGAATAGAAACGCCGGCGAAGAGAACGCCGATGAAAACGACCGGCGACGAAGAGAGAAAATTCTTCTTCTCAATCGCCATCACCTCTCTTCATCGACTCCGAGATGAAAACGCGGGAAAATGATATTTTTTTCATTATGCGAAACCCTACAAAGATGATCCAATAGGAGCATGACACGTGTTGCGGTTGATCCGGATCAGAGAGCTCAATGCATTGATACGGTTCAACTAAAAAAAACCCAAAAAATTGTTTTTTATTCAAAAAAACCCATGAACCTGTCAATGAGCCCAACGATAAACATGCTCTTAGCAATCAGCTACTCATTCCCATCATTAAATTCTTTCAAAGTTCCAATAGCCGGTTTCATATTCGATTTGCTAAATCGGTCCGGTTCTGATTTATTTCAAACCAAAACCGGATCATTCTACGGTTGACTCAAATCCATTACGTGGCGAATCGTGAAAGATAAGAAGAACTGTTCAAAAATCTTTCATATAGATCAAAAAATAATTGCAATCATGGAAACCATTTATCTGATTCTTCTTCTCTCAGAAACAAAGCTCTGAGAATTTCGCATCATCTTCTCCGATCATCTCACTATGGGTGCTTCATCTTCAACTGATAACAAAGAGTTATCAGAAAAGCGAGAAATCGAAAGCCTTGCCGCTTCAACAGGAGCTCTTCCTCTGCTTCAACGATCTTTCTCCAAGCTCGTCGATTCTCAAACCAACACAATTTCTTTTCAATCCTTCAAGGTATATATATTCGATTTCCGTTTAGTATTATAAAATCTGAGTTTGCAATTTCAGAAACTTAGGGTTTTGAGATTGAGTTTGATTTCAGATCTTCTTCTTCGATTTTGTTGTAGAAATGTTTCTGCTTGAGTTACAATACTACTACTTCTGAAGGAGACCAGAAAGTTCCAGATTCATTTCCCAGATTATTGGAGAATTTAGGATCATCTTTTGTAGATTTGTTCTTCGTACCTGACAAAGAAGGATTGAGTTGGGTAGAGTTTGCTAAAGGCTATGTTAAATGTTGTGGAAGAATGTCGGCTTCGATGTCTTTCAACACATTGTTGAGAGTGTATTCTGTGACAGCTAAAAACGCTGGCTTTTCTTTAAAGCTTGAGTTTGAATCTGATGAACCTGATTGTAAGATTAACGGGTCGATTTCGACGGTTGATTTGGTTATGTTTCTGTGGATGTGTTGGACAATGTCGTGGGACGGTCGAAGAGCTAAATCGGGTGATAGTAATGGGTGTTTGTTTCTTCCTGATATTAGTCACTTGATTCTATCAGCACTTGTGTCTTGTACTGAATCTGGAAACAGTTTGGATGTTTGGGATACCGATGTTTCGGGATTAGAACTCGAACTTCCTATCGGGAAATTCCTTACGTGGGCCTTGACAACAATTCCAAACATCAGTGAATGCCTTACTCACTTTTGTAATTCGAGACTTCAACATTCTTTGAATGTAGAGGTATTCTTTCTACTTGCTGCTTTGCATTCAACAAAAAAAAGTTGTTTACTTAAGATTGCTTGGTGTGATGTTTGGATTGATGAATTGCAGGATGGATCTGGACCTTCAAAGTCAACTGGTGGAGAAGATTCTGCGTCCAAGACATGCGAAAACACCCTTCTAACATGTGGAAGGGCATGGGCGATTTCCTTGACGTGCAAAAATACAATAAGCGAGGAGATTTTAAGCTCATGCTTTCCCTGCAATAGTGATGAAACAAATGAAAATCTTCTATACCGGTATCTTACTGTCGTACTTCTGGGCAACTTCTTGACTTTTCTTTCAAGTTTTTGATTTTGAATTTGATTTAAAATTTCCAGTCGCTTGTACATCCGTTTGTTTCTTGGACATTCTGTCTGTACAGTGTATTTAAGTTATGTCCATCTCTCTTTCAGCTCATACCATCACGGGAAAGGCATGAATCGACTGTGGTCCAATGTCGAAGGGTATCATGCTCCAATACTAGTGATAGTTTCTGCAAGCTGTGGAGTTGATCATGAAGGTACTTCAATCGAGAGAAAGTGGGTCATTGGTGCAATCCTGCAGCAAGGTTTTGAGAACAGAGATATGTTTTACGGAAGCTCTGGGAACCTGTTCTCTATTAGTCCGGTCTTCCATGCATTCTCATCTTCTGGTACTGCCCGATTTGAAATATTCTTATGCACACTCAGTTTTCCATTAGTCTTTTCTTTCATGCTATTCTGTTGATAATCTCCAGGGAAAGAGAAAAACTTTGCGTATAGCCATCTGCATCCCTCTGGTAGAGTCTACGATGCAAATCCCAAGCCTGTTGGAATTGGATTCGGTGGTACACTTGGAAACGAGAGAATTTTCATTGACGAAGACTTTGCTAAAATCACCATCCGTCATCATGCTGTTGATAAAACTTATCAGCCAGGCTCTCTTTTCCCAAACCAGGTAAAACCAAAGCATCAGAGTTTCAGGCATTTCAATTTATTATAGTTACGACACTATGAAGGAACAGAACTGTTGGTCTCTATATATATCAAATTTTGTGCTCTTGGATTTTTGTGACATATCTTGTTGAACATTATTGCTGCAGGGTTATCTACCAGTAGATGCATTGGTTTCAGACGTTGAAGCATGGGCATTAGGTGGAAAAGCGGCCAGGGAAGTTCAAGAAGCATACAAGAAAAGAGAAGAGCTTTTCACTGACCAACGTCGAAAGGTAAAAACCCCAAAAAAGCATGAGGTCTTTTATGCAATGCACAAAGGTTTCCATATATAACACCTTGTTTTGTTAATATGCAGATCGACTTGAAGACGTTTACAAATTGGGAAGATTCACCAGAGAAAATGATGATGGACATGATGGGTAATCCTAATGCTCCTAGAAAGGAAGAGAGGTAAATGAATGAAAGGCCAAGGACTGGTTTGAATACATATAAACATATACGTCTTTTATAAAGATTTTGTCTTGTAAAATATACAATACAAGAAACTCATTCGCTTTTTATGATGAGTTCTTGGATTCAATGTGTAAGTTATGTATACTATTGTTGCCAAAACACAAACCAGAGTGTTGATGAATAAAAACCATTTTTATTCCCAGAGCTTCCATATAATGTGGTAGTAGTCCTGGGTTTCTGAGCAAAGAAAGTTCATCCATTTCTGGTTCACATAAAGAAGGAAACAATACAAATCTATCTGTCCAAAACCCTAAGCTTGAGTTGCATACTGAGTAAGATCTTACATTCCAAAAGCCAGTCAATTCAAGGAGATTACACCAAGAGATATTGATTACGCGAGCAGCATTACTTCTTGTCTTCTGCTTTCCTCGGCTGCAGAACGACGAAAACAAGACTCAAAGGTCAGTAAATTCGATATACATCGATCAAGCAACACGCAGAAAGAAAATGCTCGGAAATGTTAATGTTTAAGACAAGGATTCACTTGCAGGCCATCCATATCCAGCTTAATTTCATATCCTGTTTCCAAAGTTTTCTCCTTAGTAAATCCAAATGAGAAGTGCAACGAGACATACCTTAACACCAAGAGCCTCTTGGTGAAGCTCTTCATCAGGGATGATTACAGGCCATTGTTCACAAGCTTCACGGAACATTTGCTCTGTCTCGAGATACTGACCTCTATCGAGAATCATCTTTCTGATAGACTGAGCCGAGGTCGCCGCTGCATCAAAAGCTTCTTCAACACCATTGACAAACGTGACAGTAATCTGCGGCGGCTGCTCGTCTGTTCTTCGTTTCACCAGAATCTGACAATTCGGATTCGACTCTTTGGCTTTCCTTGCATTGCATTGAGCTAAGAATTCAACACAAGATGCAAGTCTTGGATCCAATGTGTTGTACTCAACTCTAACTTTTGATAGAAACTTCAACATCCTCTTTAGATTTTCAACTCTTCGACCTAAAGCAGCCATTAACCAAAGACGAACAAATATAAACCATTGAGGGAACAAATTTCGAAAAGCCCTAACATTCTACAAATTCCGCCATGGAATCGGAGAATAATCAAAACGAAGAAAAAGCGAAATGATGCAAAATCAACAAAAATCACACATCGTAAAGAAAAGTACAGAGATCTGAAGAAGATTCGACCAGAATCTGAGCATTATTACAAATGATAACCTAATAAGATTCCATCACACAGAGATAGACACATAAAACCACATTTCTATAGAAATTAAGGTTTCGAGTTTTACCGGTGGACGGAGGCTCTCTCCGGTTGCGATTGTCCGGCGAGAAAAACTTAGGGAAATGAAGAAGAAGAGATGCAAGTGAAGAAGATTAGAGAAAGGGTTTCTGCTGTGTAAATGACGAGAATACCCTTGCTTTATTCCCTTAA